TTCTTTTAGAGAAATCGCCAATCAGATGAATCGAAACGAAGCTACTCTAATGAGATGCTGTCGAGTGTGGTTCCAAGAAGGCCGAAATGGACGAGTTAGAGGTACTGGACGTCAAAGACAGACTACAGAGCGACAGGATCATTATTTGAGGCAACTAGCACTTAGAGATCGATTTTCCACAACAAGGGCAGTTGCGAATCAGTGATTGATGCAGCCGGAAGGGCAATAACAATTAGGACAGTTTATGTCAAAATAAGGTCTTTTGGACTGTTTTCATACCGTCCCCTTATCCGATATCCAGACCTTTCCCCCATCGAGCATGTATGGGACATGATGGGAGGAAGGTTGCAAAATTCACCGCACCCTCCACAAACATTGGAGGCTTTACGAAACCAAATTCAGATGGCCTGGGATACAATACACCTAATCCAATCAGTGCCCCGATGACTTAACGAATGTGTAGCGAACAGAGGAGCTTCAATACATTATTAACATTAAGGTGGGATATCCCAGATATCTTACGAAATTTCGAGTTAAAATGTTAATCACTTTCTATTTATGAGTCGACCTAAAACTTGTAAAGTATTCTCAAAATTACAGCACTCCCAGTGGGTGTAGGCATTTTCTATGTCATTTAATATGATATATATTGGCAAAACAGAAGTGGGGAACTTCGGCTTAGCAGGACACGCATGGAAAGAGCACCATAGAACAAATTGGAACAACACCAAGGCAATACATAAAGACCCATTGGTATCAGAGAAAAATCAAGGAAGCCACCTACACAGTGAGAAACGCCAACGGATACAATAATCCCAGAAATAGTAGTAGTAGAACTTTATTTATATATTATATAATAACCGCATAGAATGGGCAAACACATGTTTCAATCCTGTTGCGTGTAACCATTCTAATAATTCCATTTTAAACTTATGTGTATTTCGAAATTGTTTTAAGTTTTTGGGTACGCGTTCATATAATTTTGGAGACAAATAGAGAAAAGATCGCTTTATTATGGTTTTATAAGGTTTAGGAACAGTTTTTGCTCGTGAAATAAAAGCAGTGCAGCAGCCGGTCATCAAAAAAATAAACAAGCCCCTGTTGGACCCACTGGGGGTATTACGTAAAAAATCGACGCAATGCCATTGAAATCCTATATAATGTCATTAAAAAATGTCAGAGTCTGCACCGATTAACCATCTTGACTTCCCAAATTACGAGGTGAGTAGATGTCTTATGGGGATTCGGTCTCAAAACTTCCAAAATCCGCCACCAGAGGCGCTGGCGTCGCGCGCCATTGACAGGTTGTTGGACGGAATCTGTATTCATGAGTTGGGGATTCCGCCGCTAGATGGCGCTGTCAAACCAAACGGAATCTGTGTGTCATTGGACACCTGTCATGCGTCATTGGGCATCTCACGCATAGATGGCGTTACACGTCATCTGTCATACGTCATTGGACACCTGTCATTGATGGGTTGAGCATCTCGCGCATAAATGGCGTAGATTTGTTTGGCGGTGTACAAACCTAACGGAATCTATGCGTCATTGGACAGCTGCCATTGATGGGTTGGGCATCTCGCGCATAGATGGCGCCGATGTCGCACCTGTCTGGTGTTGGCGTGGATTACGGGGGGCAACGTGTATACAGGGGTGCATCGAAAAATAGCGGATCGATGGACCGACGGTATATCGTTAAATCGTATATAGCAAGGCGTGACCTAAATAGCGTGGTGGGCTCCTCTGGTCGGTCGGTCGGTCGGTCAGAATGTCTCATAACCTGTATACGATGTACTGTTATTATTATACAGGATGATACCGTTCAAAATGAAAATAGTATAGACATTCTGACAATTATTTCGCAAACCAGAGGTATTTTCAATAAAACTACAATAATACGTTTAATATTTTATTGAAAATAGAAAAAAACTACATAGGTAATATGATATTTGAAAACCAGTGGCGTAGACGTTCAACATTTCTCTGGGTACAGGAAAATCGTCCGTTGGTGTGGCATGGATTGGAATCAGCAACAAAGTTTCCAGTAGCACACGGTGTACCATCATACTTGCAAACATCAATAATGTTGGGAAAAACACCAAAAATGTGACATTTCTTGAGTAAAAAGTTTGCTTTCTGTTCTCCACGAACGTAGACATAGTCAGCCGCATATATCACCTTATTTTTAATTATTTCATTTAACTTGGAATATTTAACGTCGCCGGAAGAATATTTAAGCCCATGGAAATT